TTCTCAACATCATTAGTCATTAGGCAAATGCAAGTCAAAACCACAATGAGATCCCATCTTACAGCATTTATATGACTACCATAAAGAAAAGAGTAACGAGTGTTGGGGAAATTAGAATGCTCAAACACTGTTGGAGTGGTTGTAAAATGGTGCAGCTGCTTTGGAAAACAGTTTAGCAGCTCCTGAGAACGTTAAACACACAGTTACCATATGACCCAACAATTCCACTCTTAAGTATCTGCCCAAGAGTAATGAAAACATCTATCTACACAAAGCCTGTGTGTCAGTGGTCATAGTGTTATGCATAACAGCCAACAAGTGGAAACAATGTAAGCTCATAAATCGATAAACAAGCTGTCATCTATTTCTAGAAACAAATATTTGGCAAAAGGAAAGAAATAAGATACCTGCTACCACGTGGGTGAATTTGGAAAACATTACATTAAGTGAAAGAAGCCAGACACACAAGTCTGACTACTGTGTGATTTCATTTATAGACGATGCCCAGAACAGGTAACTCCATAGAAAGAAGGAGAAGAGTGATCATTGGCTAGGGGTAGACAGGGGTGATGGAGAAGATTTGGGGAGAGGGGTTGGAAAAAGGGAGAATGACTGCTGACAGGTACAAAGTTTGGGAGAATGACGAAAATGTTCTAAAATTAGATAAGAGGATGCAAAATATCCTGAGTCTAAAGTTGAAAAGCCTAAGTGTGTGCGTGCTCAGAGATTCATGTGATTCATCTAAATAGTTGTAGTGTAACTGTCACACGTTGGTGTCCACATTGATAAGGTAACAGGTGTGGCCAGGTGCAGTGGCTCACGGCTGTAATCCCAGCACTCTGGGAGGCCAAGGTGGGTGGATCACCTGAGGTCAGGAGTTTGAGATCAGCCTGGCCAACATGGTGAAACCCTGTCTCTACTAAAAATATAAAAATTAGCCAAGCACAGTGGTAGGTGCCTATAATCCCAGCTACTTGGAAGGCTGAGGCAGGAAAATCACTTGAACCTGGGAGGCAGATGTAGTGAGCCGAGATTGCACCACTGTACTCCAGCCTGGGCAACAGAGGGAGACTGTGTCCACCCCCAAAAAAAGTGACAGATGGTTTTCACTTTAATCATAGGATATTTACTTCTTCCTTGGCTGGAGTGATACCAGCTCGTAGATAAACTAAAAACCATTGAATTGCATCTTGCTTTGTTCTGTTTTAAGACAGTGTCATGCTGTGCCACCCAGGGTGGAGTGCAGTAACACAATCATGGCTCACTGCAGCCTCCACCTCCTAGGCTTAAGCCATCCTCCCGCCTCAGCCTCCCAAGTAGCTTGGACTACCGGGCAGCACTGTGCCTGGCCTGAATTGCACACTTTAAATGGTATGTAAATGATATCTCAATAAAGCTCTTGAAAATAAATGTGTAGGTTCCTAAAGGTTCAGGATTGTTTGTGTTCATTTCTGGCTGATTCTTGTCTCCAACCTCTGTGGTGCTACAGGTTCCTGTGCTTAAAAGGTAGATTCCAAATAAATGAGACTAGAGTAACGATGAAAAGGACAATAAAACAGAGCTTGAGCCAGGCCAGTGGCTCACGCCTGTAATCCCAGCACTGGAGAGGCCAAGGTGCACAGATCATGCAGTCAGGAGATCGAGACCATCCTGGCTAACACGATGAAGCCCCACCTCTACTAAGAAAAATACAAAAAAAATTAGCTGGGCATAGTGCACTCTCCTATAGTCCCAGCTACTTGGTAGGCTGAGGCAGAAGAATTGCTTGAACCCAGGAGGTAGAGGTTGCCATGAGCCTAGTTCATGCCACTGCACTCCAGCCTGGTGACAGAGCAAGGAAAAAAAAAAAAGACCTTGAGTACTTAATTTCTGCCATTTTTGTGATGACTTGCAGTTTATGTTTAACACTTAAAACACTGAAACAGACGGTAACTCCCAAATTGCAATTATTTTTGTTGGGTAGGTACAAATTTCAGTATTTACCCAGAATCTTTTCCTGAATTTGCATAACACCTTTAAAACTGAAAAATCAACTGCGTACAGTGGCCCATGACTATAAGCCCAGCACTTTGAGATAAGGAGACAAGAGAATCACTTGAGCTCAGGAGTTCAAGACCAACCTGGGCAACATAGTGAGACCCCAGCTCTATAAAAACAAAAAAAAAGTAGCTTGGCATGGTGCCACTCCCCTGTAGTCCTAGCTACTCCAAAGGCTAAGGCAGGAGGATTGCTTGAGCCCGGGAGCTTGAGGCTGCAGTGAGCCATGATTGCACCACTGCAACTCCAGCCTGGGCAACAGAGCAATACTCTGTCTCTAAATAAATTAATAAAATAAAATAAAAATATCCATTCTTTTTATAACTGATCATTGTTTTAAAGCCATAGAACAGATAAAAATGATTATTACAGATTATTATATAATTATTACTAAAAATAATTTTGAAATACAAAGGAAGTTGTTCAGAATGCTCTGTTCTTGGCATCAAATACGCAGTGGTGCTACGAGGACAGGCCAGGTCACGAAGGCATGGAACATCATGCTTTAAAGGAACTAGCTATATCCACAGTAATGTATGTGGGCCCAGTGATCTTGAGAGTTATTAATAAAATATTGATATATTTCATTTATCTAGTCAAGTGCTTTAAAATTGTATTGGCCATTTCCATGCAGCAATTTCATTTCAGCATCCTCTGATAGAAAAACTGGTGCTGAAAACCAATTGTTATAAGTAAAATGCTTGTTTTTCAGTACTGCAAGGAAAAATTAATATTCAGACAAAAAGTTTTCTCAGCAAGGCAATTTTACTTTCTGCAGAAAGGGTACTGTCCATCAGCAATCTTGCCACAAAAGCACAACGAACAAAGGAAAGGCAGGCATATTTATCCCTTATGCACTGGGTACTTATCGCTGTGTCCGATCTCCATTGGTTGGAGCCAGATCTCACAATCTAAACTGAACTTAAAACTTTCCTAAATAGGTAAAGGCAATGGAGAAAAAAGGAAAAGCGGATGTTGCTTGAGAAAGGATTTAGAAAAGTAATAACATTCCTAAATAAGGAAGGGGCATAGACTGTGAGCTGGGACATGCCTGTGAGCACGTCCAGCACAAATATCTTGGTTAAAGTACAAGGACATAGAATATACTTATTCCCTTATGTCTGACAGCTACATAGGATAAAACTTAACAAAGAGTTACTCACAAAAAGCAAGAAGGCTTTGAAGAAACTTAGTCTTTAAAAGAAACTATTATTTCTAACATTTATTATTATTATTCTTTAACAAGAAGGGAAACTTTGAAGAGGAACTTCTTACTTTTTACACCAATGAGGGGTGTGTGTGTGTGTGTGTGTGTGTGTGTTTTGGTGGTTCTTGTTTTAATTTTGCTCTATGTTTCCTCCTGTTGGCAGTGCACAGGATGGGGGTCTTGGACTGTTTGCCAATGAAA